ATAGTGACTGGCTTCAGGGTGATTTTTGTCCCTCTGCCGGCCTCCCTGAACTGTGGTGTTCGCAACGATGACTCTTCGTTTCTGCAGGAGAGCGTTACGCATTCACTGGCGTGAGGCCTGCTTACTGTCTCCCTTCCCGACATCTTAATAAAGGCACGTAAATTCTGAGTCCCTCTTTGGACAGTAAGTTCTTTCTTTCATACGGCTTTGGAGTTTTACACTTAAAACACCTTTTAAAATCTGGCCAACGGCTACTAGGTGTGGTGAAAGGGTAATGAGAGCAGCTCTGCCGTTATGGAGAGGGCATGGAGGGACCTCCTCATCACTGATCTTCATCTTCTGATCTTGAGATTAACTGTATAAATAATTTCCCTCGGCAAAACACAGCCATCTGAAAAAGTATCTGTAAATGGCACTTGTCCCCATGTCAGCTTTCAGGTAAGCCAAAAGCAATAGGTTTCAGCTTGTGAGGGAAAATGAAAGGTGATTTATTTTTTTTATGTGTGTCAGTAGGCTTATTTTATGAGAATGAAGCTGCAAGCTGTACCTTCTCCACTGAAAAACACAAGCTATCAGTAGCCACTATCAAATAACAAGAGCAGCTAGTGGGATGAACCCAGCCTTTGATGCGAGGCAAAGCAGAGAAGGCACAGAGGGGACATCCAGGAGTCGAGCCGCCTCTCAGAGAGATCACAGCCTGCGAGTCCAGCTCTGTATTTCAGCTGCCTCCTCTATGCTGCCAGAAATCCAGGGCACGGGACAAACAGCAATGGAAAATCCTGCTAGATCATTGTCCCACCTCAGGCATGCCTGGTTTGGGAGGCTCAGCTTTGCCACACAGGAATCCACAAGCATACTGGAAAATTAATAGTGGTTCTGGAGACCGAGTAGAGTAAAAACCACTAAGCTGTAGTATTTTCTCTTCAAAGAGAGAAGATCTGCGCAGGCAGCCCCTGAGCCCTGATACTAATTCAATGGGACATACCCAGGTCCCGCTGAATTCCACTGACGTTTTGTCAGAGGTTTTAATTAGATCAATATGTTGGTGCCCGAGTTTCACTGCACAATTCTTTCTGAGTTTGTGATCAATTCCTCAGTCACCTAACTTTCCCTGAAATGCTTCTTATAGTGTCGCTCACAACACTGGAGACTGGATTTAGATAGGACAAATGTTAAAGGTGCGCCTTACTAAGGCTGTTGGGCGCAGGCATCTTCCCTCTCTCTGGTTCATTAAGTTCCAGATCTAACACAGCCTTTTCTGCTCAGCTGTGCTGCACAAAGGACTGGCTCCTCCAGAGTCATTTGAGCTATCGTGATATGAATCAGCTGTGAAAAAGGCCCAGGGTCTTCCCAAATCCTGGCATAAGAAGTAAAGGAACAAACTGCTGACTGCACTGCCTTTCCCTATGTCAGAGGAGGATTAATTAATGTTTCCAGGCTGCTTTGAAAATTAAAAGTGCCATGTGGTACAATATTGCTGTTCCTGTTTTTCACCCTGTAGCTGATATGTAGCATGTCCCTTAGAAACGAATTGGAAATTGCTTTTGGTATTTTTGGTGTTTTTCAGCGGAGCTGCTACAGACTTCTGCTTCGTTCTAATAAATGTGCCCTACCTCACCCTCCCCTGTCCCCCTTCCTCTAAGCTCCTCTGCAAGGGAAATGAAAACATCAGTCTCTGGCACCATCTGTCAAGCCCAGGCTAATCCATTCTCTGCTTGCCTCATGGTCAATTTGGTTTCTTTCTGATCTGTACAGCTAGCTTTCCTATTGCTGAGAATTTAATACTATTCATAGGTTTGGGCTTCGCTTTATTTTCATGGTAATATTATTATGATGACTGTAATGTCCAGACATACATCCCCTCCATATGCCCAGGCCAGAGAACAGTACCTAAGCAAACACGCAACCGCCCAGTATGGCAGGTAGCACTGCTCTCCCCGTTTTACAGAGTGAAAATGAGGCAAAAAGAACTGACTTGCCCAGGGATGTATGGATGCCTCAGCAGCAGAGCTAAGCAGAGAGCTCACAAATCCCTGGATAAGACCCAGTCACTGCTGCTGACTAAAGCACCGTCACTTTGCCTCTCTTTTTCCCTCTTGTTTTGTCTTTGTTTACAGTGATCTCTACGGGAGCTTTACAAAGATGATTTAAGACGTGGACCTTCATATAGCTCCTGTGACAAGACTGAGTAGAACCACTAGGGACAAAGCTTACACTTACTCAGCAAAGCACAACAGCAGATCAGGTCAATCCGTTAACAAACAGGACACATTAGACCAGTTGTTTCCTCCATTTGCTGGTGGTAAATGGGACCCCAGGCATGGTCTTTATGGCTTCCTTCTAATATTCTTAGTACTTCTGTTGTCCCCGTGCCATTAACTAAGAGGCGATTGCTGTCTGACAGACTGCTTCAACACTTTTCACGTCCTTTGCATGATCTGAAGAGAGGTTGATGACAGGCCAATGAGAAATGTCAATGCTCAGCTCTGTTCAGGATCAGGCCAGAGCTGACCATACTGAAGAGATCTGATTTTTTGGAGGTCTGCCCAAAGCAAACAGCAGTTCTTAACATATCGATGTTGACCCATCGCTGTCCACCCTCGTGCAGGCAGTTGTGTATCCCCCTACCTAGCTATCTCTAACAGTAAGAGTCCATGCAAGAAGACACAAGCTGAAGAACAGCTGGACATAAAATTATGTGCTGCCTGCTGTACATTCACAGAGGCATCCCTTTGCCTTTGATGTGAGATGACAGAAGAGTCCTGCTGGGCCATTTCTTCCTGCAATTACTGCAGTTCCTCTGGTGATACCACATGGATAGACCCAGGAATCACCATACATGAAAAACACACTTTCTCTAACATGGATGCGGTATTAGAACAGAAATCCTTAAAATGGCATGGCTTGCCCCATAACAGAAGGAAAAAACCACCCTTTTTCATATATTTTTCATAACCAACAACTCAAAAGGATTTTTTTTTATTGTATTTTGGCCAAGACCACTGTTTATTTGCCAAGGATGCAATCTGTGCATGAGCACTGAGCCATTAAAACTGGCAGGGAATTAGTAACGCTTGCAACCAATGGCCAAGAAGGGCCACAAACACTTTGCCGTTTTCTTCCCTGATCTTTCATCTTCATCATGGGCAATATTTAAGGTGTCATGCAAAGACTTCAACCTGAGCGGCCTGAAACACTGCAAGCAGTATCAGTCACAGCTTCACTGAGGTAAGGATGTGGCTGACAGCCATCTCAGCACCTTTCACCACCGCAAACCCTCACAGGACCTGTGGCATGGTGAAGCTCACTGCCAGGGCAGGCCATGTCCCTGGGCCTGGAGACAGGACTCCCCTTCCTCCTAGCCAGGCCCACGGCGATGTGCTCCCGGGGTGCACGGAGGCCTGGTCGGCAGGCCCGGCGTGCCTCTGGCTTTCGGCTCCTGCAGTAAGAGGTGGGCGCCTCTCGACGAGGCCTCCTGACGGGGCGGCAGAGGGGGAAGGGGCCTGGGAGGCAGATGGGGGAGCGGAGAGCACCGGGCTCGGGGCGGCGGCTGACAGGCGCCTGGGAGAGAGGACTTGGCGGGCGGGTGAGGGCTGAGCGCTGCCGCCCG